ACATGTCATGAACTCCGGACAACTGCAGCGGCAAAGCTAAACGATAGGCAACCTCGCCAATGTTTAAGTTTTTTAACTTTTGGTCCAAACATAAGGACTTTCTTCCTTTGGTTTCTAATGAGTGGACTCAGTACATTCAAGGTGTTCCTATGTTTAGGGTCAGTCAAAAGCTTAGGAATTTAAAACTTGGTTTGAGAGACCTTAACAAAAAAGATTTTAGTGACATCTCTACCAGAGTCCTTGTTGCCAAATCAGATCTTGAATCTGTTCAATGGAAATTGGACAAGGATCCGAGCAATCTGAATCTGCAGAATCTTAAGAGAACTAACTACAGGCATTATGTGGATTTTTATGTGCTGTGGAGGAGAGCCTTGCTCACCAAAAATCCAGAGTTGACTGGCTTGGTCTAGGGGATAGGAATACCAAATTCTTTTTTAGATCTGTTAAGAGCAATATTAACAGACGTAAAATCATTAGCATTGAGATGGAAGATGGCAGTGTATCTTCTAAGCCTGAGGACATTCAGAAATCCTTCATTAGCTTTTTCACTAATCTTTTTGGTACCCCTCTCAATGATCAATACAATGGGTTTGACAGGATAAATTCTCTTGTCCAGTCTAGAGTCTCTGTGGAACAATCTATTATGCTGGGTAGTCCTGTCTCTGACAAAGAGATTAAGGATGTTGTCTGGTCTCTTAAGGTTAATAAGGCCCCTGGACCGGATGGTTTTACGGGTAGTTTCTTTAAGGCCTCTTGGGACATTGTTGGGAAAGAGATCACTCAAGCAATTAGAACCTTTTTCCAGTCTGGTAAACTTCTCTCTGAGGTTAATAGCACTATTATTGCTCTCATCCCTAAAGTTCCTAATCCTTTGAGAGTGGGTGACTTTAGGCCTATTTCTTGTTGCAATACAATCTTTTTTTTTTTTTTTTTTGGGTGGATAAGTCATAAAATAAAAGACAAAAAACTTACACCACGACAAGGGGCATACCCCAGGCCCTAACCAAAGCACTATACAAGAACCAAAGATAAAAAAAAAAAAAAAAAAAAACTAAGCCATTCCAGAATTACCCAGAAAAATTGACGAACAAACCATAACTATCTGGACAAAATAAATAAAATAAACCCTAACCTAAATAAACCATACATAATAGGAAATAACCAAAGTGTGTTCATGTGCCGCATGAAACTGTAATGAGGAGCATGAACACACCCGATATCAAGTAGCAAAAGGTCAGATGAAACAAGAAAATCATGGACACCCGTGTACATCCCACATGGGTAGGCAAAAATACCAACACACTCAAAGGAAAACAAACATAATAGAAAGTCAGGCTTCACACACTAGGCGCATGTAGCAGCCATCAACACAGTCAGATCCAGCTTCGAGCTTCGAGTCAACCCGAACTGAAGAACAAACCAACACATGTAACTCGAACAGATTCTACACATTATAGTAGGCCCTGTAATCCAGCAAAGACCAAACAGAATTAAATAGGCAGCAACAGAATACTTTGCAAAACTCAGAAACCTGAAACAGTTAACATCACACATATAATTGCTCACTACACTCAACCCACAAGTATCTATGCTCACATCACTCGGGAAAAACCAGCTCCATACACCTGCAAAAGAAAATATACAGAGAATATATAAAAGCATGTTAGTTCCTCTCAATGTGGCTAGTAAGTTGGGGGTTATGGAGTGTTTATTCCTCACACGAAACTCAACCCTCAGTTTGATTGGCATACACTCATCCATCGGTATTCCAGGACTCCAAGCACCTATATGAATAACAAACATTAGGAAACCCCACAATGTAGTTACCCACATTTTGTGAACTCTCAATCCTCACATCAGCAGCAGCACGCTTTAGCATAGTATGAGGCAATTTCCATGAGCCTTACCATCTGTCATTATGGTTAGTCTTCAAATTGGTAATATGCATTACCCTGAATCTAACCATATCCACAATACACTTAATAACAACCTCTTCAGGGACCATATCTTTACTAAACACTCTATTATTCCTAGCAACTCATAACTGGTACATAGTACAAGTAAATGCAAGCTTGGTAATAATAGCCCCGAGGGATTTCCCTTTCACAGATTTAGCAATGAGCTGGACCAAATCATCCCAAAGGAGGGATGGCCAATCAACATTGATTTTACCTTTAATACAAGACCACACCCTTTCCGAGAATGGACATTCAAAGAAAAGGTGGTTATGGTCTTCATTGTGGTACTGACAAAAGGCACACACAGCAGATTGCGTCACACCAAAAAGGTGCAACCTATCCCCAGTGTTCAGACGGCCAAGGATCGCCATCCAAACCACAAAACTCACTTTAAGGATATTGTGGGGGCCCCAAATTAAATGAGACCAATTCACATGATCAAAGTGAGTCCTTAACGCATTCCAAGTGGATTGAATGGTGAATTTCCCATCATGAGCAGGACACCAACTAACACTGTCATGACCACCAGTAGGGAGGAAATTTGAAGGGTTATGAGGTCCATAATTTCCCAAGATGAAGGAAATGGCCATCTCCAAGTGTTACCCTCCACAATCTGACTAACCTTAGCATCTATGCTTAAGGCGGTGTCGTACACAATACGAATCCCAAACTTATCCCAAACAGAACCCATAGGGTGCCAATTATCAAACCATAAGAAAACTCCAGATCCATCTCCCACCTTGTATTTGATTAAGGGGTAAATTATAGGCCTAAGGGAGAGAACTTTCCTCCAGACCCAAGAGGGTCATTTGGCACCCTAACTCTCCAAAAACTCCTACCTTTGAGGAGATAAGACTTTACCTAGCTACACCACATAGACTGCTCACCCCCAGAAAGAAGGAACCAAACATGCTTAGCAATAGCAGATTTATTCCATACAGAAAGAGACTTAAACCCCAGACCCCCTTCCTTCCTGGGAGAGCAAATTCTATCCCAAGAAACCTTAGCCCCATGAGTTTTCAACTCACAACCCGACCAAAAAAAAGCCCAAAAAAAGACTCTCGATACACCGAATGACCTTCTTTGGGAGAATGAACAAAGAGGTCCAATACACTTGCATCGAAAACAAAACAGATTGGATCAATTGAGCTCGGCCAACATAAGTAAGACACTTATTTGTCCAGCCCTTAATCCTCTTAGTTATCCGATCCACAAGTTGATCACAGTCAGTGGCTTTAAGTTTCGTGGAGACTAATGGAACCCCCAAGTATCTCATAGGCAGCTTGCCTTCACTGAATTGACAAACCCCAAGAATCTCATCTCTCAACTCATTATCATAACCCGAAAAGAAAATATGACTCTTAGCGGGGCTAGGTGACAACCCAGACAAGCTCTTAAATTCTTCTAACCCTAGCTTAATAGACCGAATAGTGAACACATCCCCCTTACAGAAGATCATTAAGTCATCTGTAAAGCACAAGTTAACAATTTTAGGTTGATCACATCTCCGGTGGAATTTGAAGGCAGGATGCGAAGCCTTCTCAGCCAAAATTCTTGAGAGAATTTCCATGACTAAAACAAATAGGTAAGGTGACATAGGGTCACCTTGTCTCAAACCTCTCTCCCCCCTAAAATAACCATGCAGACTCCCATTAATGCAAATGGAATAGGTGGAACTAGTCATGCAAGCTTTGACCCAAAAGACCATGTTAAGGGAGAAACCCATAGCATTAAGGACATCAAGAACAAACTCCCATCTTACATTATCATATGCTTTCATAATGTCCACTTTCATGGCACACCTGGGAGAATGAGAGAATTTATGATACCCCTCATAAGTTCCTGTGAAAGGAAAATATTGTCAGCAATTCTCCTACCGGGGACAAAAGCTGATTGCATAGGGTCAATAAGATCTTTCAGAACAGATTTGATCCTATCAGCAATGATCTTAGAAATACACTTGTACAAAGTATTACAGCAAGAAATGGGTCTAAAATCCCCCACTTTTTCAGCATTGGGGATCTTCGGGATAAGAGCAATGGAGGTGCTATTTATTTCCCGAAGAAGTTCTCCCGATGAGAAAAAAGATTTGATGGCTTCGACAACCTCTCTCCCCATAATGTCCCAGGCTTTCAGAAAAAAACCCGCAGAATAACCATCAGGGCCGGGGGCTTTGTTGGTTTTTAGAGACCTGAAAGCATCAATGATCTCTTTTTTAGTAACATCCCTAGCCAGACTAAGATACTGAGTTTCAGACACTCTCTTGGTGATAAGACCATTAATCCTCTCAGACCCATGATAATTGTCAACAAACGGCTTACTGAACAAATTAGTGAAGTAATCCACAAAAGAGTTATGGACCTCAGCACTATTAGTCACCCTCTCCCCATTCGGAAGCACAACACTATGAATACGCCCCTTATTCACATTCCCCTCAACAGTTCGAAAGAAGAACTTTGAATTCCTATCCCCTGATTCGAGCCATTGGACATGAGATTTTTGATGGGCAAGGCTTTCCTCAGCTTTACTGAGATCAACATATTTAATGTAAGCAACCCTTTCCGTTTCCTGAAGATGAAGATTCATCGGATCTTTATCAAGCTTAATTTGTGAATTAAGAAGTTGATCCTTAGCAGCACCAACACGGATGGAAATCTCACTATACTCCTTTTTGTTCATTGCCAAGATTATTGCTAACAGAATTAAGGTTGTCCTCCCTAATTTGATTGACCCTGTCCAATCTGCCTTTCTGCAAGGTAGGAGGATTTCTGATAGTATCTTTTGGTCTCAAGAACTTATGAGAGGTTACCATCGTCAGTTCCCTACTCCTAAATGTGCTATGAAAGTTGACATTATGAAAGCTTACGATACTGTTAGATGGGATTTTATTATTGATGTCCTGAAGGCTATGGCCTGATCAAGGCTTGTATTACAAGCCCTTCTTTTTCCATATGTATCAATGGCAGCTTACATGGTTACTTCAAGGGCGCTAGAGGTCTTAGGCAGGGTGACCCTATGTCACCTTACCTTTTTGTCTTGGCTATGGAAATCCTAGCTAGGATCCTTGCTGAGAAATCCAAGCATCCCCTCTTTAAATTCCATTGGAGATGTGAGAAGACTAAGATTGTTAATTTGTGCTTTGCTGATGATCTCATGATTTTCAGCAAAGGGGATATCCCTACTGTGCAAATGATCATGCATGGGCTTGACGAGTTCAAGAATCTTTCGGGGCTTACTCCTAGTGCTAGCAAGAGTAATATCTTCTTTTGTGGATGTAGTAGAAGTCTTAGGGAGGATATCCTTAAGATTGCTAACTTCAATGAAGGTACTCTTCCTGTCAAGTATTTGGGTGTTCCTTTAATCACCACTAAGTTGAGAACCATTGACTGCCAACAGCTTATCGACAAAATTACTAGCAGAATTAAGAGTTGGACCAATAAGGCCCTCTCTTATGCGGGTAGAGCTCAGCTCATCGAAACCATTCTATTCTCCATGCAAGTTTATTGGTCTTCTTTGTTCATCCTTCCTAAGAAGGTTGTCATAGAAATTGAGAATCTTCTTAGAGCTTTTCTCTGGTCTGGTATTGACTTGAAGAAGCATAGTGCAAAAATTGCTTGGGATAAGGTTTGTGCTCCCAAGGAAGAAGGTGGACTGGGTTTTAAATCTCTGGAGGTTTGGAATAAAGTTGCTATTGCCAAACATATTTGGTTTCTTTTCTCGGGGGGTGAGAAGTCGATGTGGTGCCAATGGGTTAAATCTTATTTACTCAAAAGTAAAAGTTTTTAGAAAGTCTCTGTTCCTAGTGATTCCTCTTGGGTCTGGAGGAAGATTCTTTCCCTTAGAAAGGCTATCTTTCCTCTCATCTTGCACAAAATTGGGAATGGTAATGCTACTTTTTTGTGGCATGATAATTGGCATCCGGTGGGCTCTATTTGGGACAAATTTGAGGACAGGATTATTTATGATTCTGGGCTCCAGGGGAGGCTAAAGTGAGCAATATTGTTAATAGGGATTCCTAGAATTGGCATTTCCCTAATTCTTGGGAAATTAGAGATCTAATATCTTTGACTCCCCAAACTTTTAAACCTAGATCTTCGAGCAATGATATCCCTATTTGGACTCTTACTCATGATGGTAAATTCTCCATCCAATCTGCTTGGAACCATTGGAGAGTCAAACATGATAAGGTTGCTTGGTATAAGCTGTTGTGGGGGCCATTAACTATCCCTAGAGTTAGTTTCATTGTCTGGATTGCTTTGCATGGTAGGCTTAACACTGGGGACAGATTAGAATCATTTGGTATGAGTGATGACTTTAAATGCTCTTTTTGCAATCACCATACTGAAAGCCACTCCCACCTTTTCTTTAATTGCATCTTCTCTCTTAAGGTTTGGGATGCTATTAAAGCAAAGTGTAATGTTAAGTGGCCTGACATTTTTTGGCCTGATATTGTTCATGTTGCCATTAGGGAGAGCAGAGGTAAGTCCTTGAAAGCTATTACTACTAGATTGTCTTTGCTGTGTATTGTTTATCAAATCTGGATTGAAAGAAACAACAGAATTTTTAATAAGGAAATGAAACCTGAAGAAGTTGTTATCAAAACAATTGTTCAAATGATTAGAGGCAGACTAATGTCATTGTACAATTTACCTAGATCTGCAGGTGATGATTGGTTCTTAAAGCAATGGAATTTGACTGACTCCATTTTGAAGCCCCGTACTGTTAGTATTGGGAGGGCTGCTGAGTGATGGGAGTTTCTCACATGAGAGTTGAGTTTGTGGGAGCCATATAATGTGGGTTTTCCTAATTGTTTGTGACCTGTGCAGCTGGTGGTGTCTGTTACTCTAGAAATAGAGGGTTGAGTGATGTGAGACATAAAATCTGCAACATTGTCTTTACATTTCAGCAGCATATTTGGAAATGTTTGTGGGTTGAGTGAAAATAGCCAATACATGTTTTCCGTGCTAACCATATATATATATATATTACCTCTTTATTTGCAGGTTAAGGAAGCAATTTCCGAGTGTGGTGAGGTCCCATACTGTGGGCCGAGTGATGCGAGTTTATATAAAGTGTGTCTCATCCTTTTTATTGGGTTTTTTTGGGCTCCATTGATTCGGGTTTTTGTCTCATTTATTTGGCAGGAAATTCTATATTGTTTAGAGAATGTTTGTCATCAATACTCTACCAAGGACTGCCATGCCGTGGTGTTTGTCATCATTTATGGGAATGGCTGCTGAATGCGCCTTCTGGATACATAAGAAAGTTCAAAAGTTGTTCTTCGTTATTTTCATATATTGTAACCACTATTTCTACAGTTTTGTGTTACCTATCCTAGTGGGATGTACTAGGGATTATGTTATGTTCGGCTCCTTCCTAGCTAACCTTTCTTTGCTAGATAGTTTGTGTTGGGTTTGTTTTATTTTGAGGCATGTGCTTATACACAATATGCATTTTGTGATTGGGTTTCTTTCATAGGTTTTGGGTCGTCCTGGCTGTGTTGTTGCTGCCGTGTTTTTTGTTTTGTCTTTCTCTAGCTTTGGTTTGGCCTCGCTGTGTTCATGTTCCCTATCCTCTCTTGATATGGAATCTGAACATGGTGTTTCTTCTCGGTCTTCTTGCTGGTTTGTTTTGGTTGTTTTTTGGGTTTTCTTTCTGGTTTGGTTTCGTTCTCTGTATAGCTATGTTTTAGGGCCTGGGGCATTTCCCTTGTAAGCTTGTATATTTTCCTGTTTTATTTATGTCTTATTCACTCAAAAAAAAAAATTTAATACACATATTTACTGAATTAATGGAGTCCATCCCCTATCTCCTCCCAAATAGGTTTGAGAGTCCATCCCCTATCTTCCCTCAAACCATGGAGTACATCCCCTATCTCCTCCCTCACAATACACATATTCCAAGTATATAAACAATTATCATATACAGGGATCACTCAATACACATATTTAATGTATTATTCCAACTGTCATATTCAATGACATAATCAATGTGATTAGTTTCAGTTTTCCCTAATCAACATACAGTGTCTACAACAATCAAGACTATCCTCCACCGATAGCCCAAAGCAGTTATTTTTAAGCTGAAAATAAATGCATTAAATAGACATAATATCAACTTACTCCATAGGGGTGTGATTAATATATTCAACTACACCAATCAATCCCAAAATTTCCCAATTTCATTATTCTCAACTCAATTCCATATTTTCACATTTTTCCAAAATTAATTATACAAATTAATTTATTTCATAATTAGGGCATTCTTCCCCTTTTATCATAACTCAACCCAAAGGTTCAAATTCAACAATACAACAACATTAATTCCATTCTTGTTGGTCTCAAACACCCATAGGATTTAACATTTTGAAAACCCCATTTTTTATAAATTACAAATCAAACCCTAACTTTTCCAAAAATTACCCAACAATCCCCAACATATCAAAATGCCCAAAATTTATGAGAAAACTCAAAAGATGGAGTAGGGTATCCCTACCTCGAAATTAGAAGCCCAAAGGAGAAGACGGTGAACACCGAAATGCTCCAAATCCACAACTTTTCAGATTAAAACAAAGCCCATGCCACCCTCTATCTTTCTTACAAAGGACTTAGGGTAGAAACACACTAAAACCAGATGAATCCCTAGAGAGAAGGTGTGTAGAGAGAGAGAGAGCTCGGATCTAGGGTTTGCAAAACAAAAGGGATGAAAAAGTGAAGTGTTTACCCGCTGCTGTCTACTGATATAACACAGGCTCGCTCAAGTGAAGGATTGGTCGCTCGAGTGACCAGACACAAAGAACTCTCGCTCAAGCGTAGAAAGACTCGCTCGAGCCAAGAATGCGAAGCTTCAGGTCTGCAACCCAGAAGCACGCTCGAGTGACAGAATGCTCGCTCGAGCGAAGAAACCCAAAACATAGACCTCGCTCGCTCGAGCGAAGAATTACAACCTTTAGGTCCAGAACCAGATACAGACGCAAGCTCGAGCACAGGACTTCTCGCTCGAGCCACCAGATACAAAACTCAACTCTCGCTCAAGCAAAGGAACCCTGGCTCGAGCTAAGGATCTAAAACACAAAGCTCGCTCGAGCGACAAAAGTCTCACTCGAGTGAAGGACCAAAATTCTGGGCAACAACCATTTGCTCCCAATCACACCCAACCTGTAACAAACCTGCCCAACACATCCTATAACTCAAATACAAAGTATTGAAGGACGGAAACAAGATATAAACAACAATCAACACGATGGAACCTAAGTCCGGAATACTGTACATAAAGGGGAAAACCCGGGATCGCTATACATAGCACAAACTAGACTATTAAGCACCATTGCACTACAAACATACAAAGAAAGCCTCAAGTGACTTAACCAGCCCCAAAAAGAGGTAAAACAAGTCAAAAAAGTAGCAAAAACATGCTGAGATCAAGTCATAAAATGGTAGAAAAACATGCTCATATGTTAGACTATCTACTCATGCAAACAAGACACAAGGATGGGAGGCCAACCCCTCCTATTTTGGACCTCAAAACATGGTTTTTGTCACTGAAAAACCTCTGAGTTTCAGTTGTAAAAGGGCCTAAAAATTTTGATTTGAAGGTGATGAGAAATGGTGCAAAAAGCTTAATAAGCTAAAGAGCAAAAAATGGGGGACAACCTCCTAACTCGCAAAGGCTCAAACCACCACTTTTAGGACTAAAAAAAGACCTTTTTACATGCCAAAACCAGCCTTGAAATGGTGTAAAAGGATGGCAAAGCAAGTATGAAAAACAAGCTTGAAGGGAGAGAGTTATACCTCTTGAAGCACAACACAATTTTAGGCAACAAAACCAAGGAAAATCACCTCCAAGAGCTCCAAGAAGACCTTCTTGAACCTCAGCTCAAGGATAACCAACTTTGGTAAAGGATGTATAGGCAAAGGAGAAGTGTATCTACACTTGTATGCACTTATGTACAAAGGTTCAAGACAGAGAGAAATGTAGAGAGAGAATTATAGAGAGAGTGGCTCCCAAAATTTTCTTCCTCAAATGTTCTAACCCTCAAAACCATAGAGAAGGGCTCTCTATATATAGAAGAATGCAAGCTTAGGTCAAAAATATCCCAAAATAGAAAGCTGGAACACAAATATCTGCAAAAATCTGACTTTCTCCATCAATGGCCAGCAAGCCATCATTGATGGTCGGTACATGTCCATTTCTGGTCGGCAAGGGTCACTCTTGGATGGCACCTGGCCAGCATAGGCCATTCATGGCCGGCACATGGCCAGAAACCTCGACCTCTGGTTGGCCAGAAAAATCTGCTTTTTGGGCCCAACTTCAAATGGGAAAAACTCCTTCATCTGGACTTCTTTGCAGGTCATTCTTGAGCCTATATTGAAGCCCTGGAAGTCTTCTTTCCAATGGTGGCTGCCTCACATAAAAATTTCAAGTGTGCAAGGAGATATGCCTCTTTGAGTGAAGACTACTCAGTTTCGATCCTACCTGGATTCATGGCGAACTTCTCCCAAGCTTGTTTTCTTCTCCTCAAACTGATGGACAGTCAGAACACGCCATTCAGATTTTGGAAGACATGCTTAGAGCTTGTGTCCTTGATTTTAAGGGGCCTTAGGAAAGGCACTTACCATTAATTGAGTTTGCTTACAACAATAGTTACCAAGCTAGTATTAGGATAGCACCATTTGAGGTCTTGTTATGGTCGACCTTGTAGATCACCGGTTTGTTGGGCCGAAGTGGGGTGATGCACCGTTACTGGGTCCGGAAATTGTTAGAGAGACAACCGAGAAAGTTGTTCTCATTCGGAAGAGGTTAGCTACGGCCCAAAGCCAACAAAAGAGTTATGCCGATAAGAGAAGACGACCTTTATCTTTTGAAGTTGGTGACCATGTGTTTCTAAAAATCTCACCAAGGCGGGGTTTGATGAGATTTGATAAGAGTGGTAAATTATCTCCAAGGTTCATTGGGCTTTTTAAGATCTTAGAGCAAATTGGAGAAGTGGCATAGCTGTTAGCTTTACCGCCACAACTTTCGGGAGTTTGCAGCGTATTTCATGTATCTATGCTGAGGAAGTATGAACCCGACCCTTCTCATGTTCTTTGATTAGGTTGACTTGGAGGTAGATGAGGATGCCTTTTACGAAGAACGGCCGGTTCAAATATTAGATACCCAGGAGCAAGTGCTACGGGGCAAAACTATACCGTTGGTAAAGGTGTCGTGGAGACACCATGGGGTTGAAGAAGTGACATGGGAACGGAAGGCGGAAGTCCGCTCCAAATATCCAAATTTGTTTGAAAATGCTTAAGTTGCTTTTCTTTGTAATATTCCCTAGTGTTGAGGGAAACGTATTTAAAGTTCTTAACCACATGTTGATATGTGCGTTGTTATTTTAAGCATAAGGTTGTTAAGAGTTGCCATTACTTTTTAGGAAATTTCATGTTTATACATATTTGGGAGGTTGTTGTTAATGAGATAACCATGGTGGAAATGGTGGAATTTGGTTAAGAGTTAGTATTGTGATTTGAAAATGAAATAGCGTGGCTTTGATCGCCAGAAACCCCTTTGTTTAGGTAGTTTGATTTGAAATTTCGGGGACGAAATTCATTAAAGGGGAAAGGTTGTTGCGATCCCAGCTTCAATCCTTCTTTCACATTTTGCCACTTCAACTGGGCTGGTCAGGGGTTGAGCTGCCCGGTCAGCTCGCGGGGGTCAAGGGGGCAGCGCCCCTTGGCGGGTCCGGGGCAGCGCCCCGACGGGGTCGAGGGGCAGCGTCCCTCGAAGCAAAAAGGAAAAATGCTCGAGCGGCCATTTATGCGCTCAAGTGGACTTCACAAATTTTGTTCCACGCTCGAGCTGGAAGTCGAGCGCTCGAGCG